TCACTGATCTCCATGTGGACATTGAGCTGTTGACCACTACTCTCTGGATGTGGCATTTCATTTAATTTGTATAACTGAATTGGAAAATTAAAGACAGAATGAAGTATTATCAAAATATAAGAATTGTTCAGGGATATCCAAATTGGATGTGGAATAAAGTCACACTGGGAATGAAACATTCTGGTTTAAAAGAAATATGAAATCAGTGAAAAAGAAAAAGGATATGGCTAAGAATGTGTCAAATTATGATACAGATACTGACAAGAAAAGCCAAAAGAGTCAATGAAATATTGATGACATTACCATGATGCGTAAAGTAAGCAAGGAGGCATTTCTTAAACAGTTTAGATTAAAAAGGAGGGAGGAAAAAAATGCCAAGATAGCTTATATGTTAAGTCATCTGCTATATTAAGATGGTAAAATAATTATATATAAAATGAAAAATTATTTAATAGGTACTTATGTTCTATGTGTGGAAGAGTGGAATAAAACGTTCACATCCATTAAAAAGTGGGAAGTTGGGCAGCATCTTTTAAGATTAAGCCTTTTCAAATAACAGGCCTAGCTGACTTAAGTCTGAGAACTTTGGTGAAAATGCAATGCTTTTTCCTGTACTAGCATTCATTTTTAAAAAAACTGGAAAACTACGAGAATTCCAAAGAATAGAACTACTATTTCAGAGTCTAATTGTGGCAAAAGTTATGATGTAGAGAAACAAAGACAGGTTAGACTTTCTTCACTCCTAATCAGATATAACAGAATGCTTTGTTTGGTACACGCTTCAGCAAAAAAAAAGACTAAAGTTGTAACTAATGCTGGTTAGTGTGATTTTTGTAGGTAGTAGATAACTATGTTGCCTTTTGGGGAAACTGGAGGGAGGGGATGATACAGGTTTAAAAAGGGTTGACTTTTTTGATTTATAAAAATAACTGAGTTGGTACAGTGTTGATAGTACAGGTAGATTTGTATCAAACATTTGTTTAAAAGCCACTGACATTCTTATTTTTATTTAAAAAGTCTTTATAAGAAAATAATATAGTACATGAGAACAGACCATTACAAATAATTTGAATTTAATACCGAAGTGGTCACAATGCAATAAAAAAAATACAATTGGAAATCAGAGATGCAAGTTGTAGCTGCAGGATAGTACAACTGCTGAATGACATTTTGGAGAGAAGTGACTAAGAGGTGGGTTTAGAGTCATTGTGGAAAATAATGTGAGTGCTCAGTGCAGTGATGACCCTGTGTTCCTTGGTGAGTTAAAACTAAGGTACCAAGTACACCATCAGCAAAGCCCTACAGGAATGTAGGAACCCATCAGTATGTCTGATTCTGAAGTCCACATTCAAAAGGATTGTGGAAATACTGCAGGGAGTTCTGAAGTAGACAGAAGCGATTAAAGCTAGGAGAACATCCTTTCCTTTAAAAAGAACTCTTTAAAAAGTATAAATTAGTTAGTCTGCTAAAGAGAAGCCGGAGTGGTGACCAAGATAACAGTGTGGAGGTGTTTGTTGATCATGCATTCAAATAGTTTACTAGGAAAGCTGATGCCTTCACCATGCATGGTGTCTTTAGGGTGTAACTAGATTTCAGCCTGAAGTTACCCAAGTTCTCGTAGCTCCTAGATTCTGGAGTTCCTGTCAGTCCTATCAAACTGATGCACAATCCTATCAAACTGAGCCACAGTTGAACCAGAAATTCAAAGGGATTCCTAGACTTGATTTCACTAGAAAATTTCTAGATAAAACATTTTTATTTGTTCTCAAGAAGTAATCTGAAAATTCTGGAGTTACACAGTTTGTTCTGAAACCATTTGGCTAGATTCTTTTCAATTTTCTGCAGAATGAATATTCAGATTTCAGTCAACTCTGATATGAGTAGGAAAAATGAATAATTCTTTTGATATTCCTGTTTCATTCTAGTTTTAGGCTTAAATGGACAATTTTTGGGTTTTTCTTTTTTCTCATAGTGCTTCTTGGAGCTAAGTCTCCTAGAGAGTTTTGGCAATGTTACTTAGAAAAAAAGAATATGATCTATAATTCTTGTCTTCAGAAACATTCAATATATAATTTATTGTATGCATGCATGCATATACACACGCATATACACACACATATACACAGTTATTTCTTTGCTTGATCTTGAATATGGAACAGATGGTTGAGACAGTTACGACCATTGTGCTTGGCCCTAGAATAGTTTAAGCCTATAGGTAAAGTTGTTTAACAGCTGTTATCTTTAAGGATGTTCCAACTGCAGTCAGAAAAAGATACTGAGGGTTATGTAGTTAAGAGATTGTAGTAATTATAGAAAAAATAATTAGGCTAAGCTACCTCAGATAAAAGGTTAAAAGCTGTTGTTTACATATAAGCTAGTGCTAGCCAGTATTTGGAAAGTTATGGCTTTCATTTACTATAAAATGTATTTAACTTTCAAAAGCTATTAAAAAAAATCACTGGGAGTAAGAAATTTGGTCCATATTGTCTAGTTTTAGAAGAAATTTCTGCAAGGTGGAATCCAGCTTGGTACTTAAGCAATTTCACTGAAACGTTCTTCACAAACTGTGGAGATAAAAGATTAGTATCTTAAAGAATGAGCTATTTCTCTGTTTTCAAAATATGAAATTTAGCAAGGAAATACTTTTTGGTTTTGTATGCAATATTGGCAATGCGATTTCAGGAAGAAAAAAAGCAGTTGCGTGTCACTTGTTTGTTTTCCATTTGTGCATTTTGGCCCTTCAAAATGGTGGTAAGTAGGCAGGGGAGGAGATTACACCTGCTCTGGAAGTACCTCTCTGCATTGAGGGAGGGGGGACAGCTTCCGGGCTGCAGGAAATGGCAAGAAGAGGAAGGAGGAGGGAGCAAGAGCAAGAGGAGAGCCTGCAGCATAGCAGCGGGACTGAGAGCAGTGAGAAAAGCATGGAGCAGATAGAGCTATGCCTCTGTAGCAACAGAAACGTTCCAGGGACAGGAGGCAACTGCATAATTGGCTACAAACCAACAGCTAAGTTATATGAAACCTGAGTGCAGATCTACTGCATGCAAAGACCTGTGCTTCAAAGATGTAGGGGGCAGGTACAGACTGATTTGTAGTCCCTTATTTTGATTCTGTTTTTCCTCGTCAATTTGACATTTTCCTGTTTACAAAAAGTCAGTTATTTCTAGTTCTGTTCCAGTAAATCTGGCTTGCGAGTATAGCCTGGCTTTCCTATCAGTCAGTTCTTGTGGCTTCCTCTTTAGCATGCAGGCTTTCTGGATTACCTTTCTCGTCAACCTAACTTGGTAAAGTGAGCCTAGGAATAAAAAATATAGGAAGTGTTGACTCTATAAGGAGCCAAGTATCAAAGTCCTTTATTGACCTAGTGCTGATCATAGAAGGTGCTTGAAAAAACATTTTAGAATTAAGCTGTCTAGGGTTGTCACTAGCTAGTTTGTTCTTCATTCCACAATAGCTTAAGATAACTAAGAGAAAAAGTAAGTGTGTCCTTCTTACAGGAAAACTTCTGATGTGCTTGGCTCTGTTACTCCTAAGTGCCATTTGTAACCCCCTCTTCCTGTGTTGCTGTCACTACGTTCTGGCACTCTAATATTTTAAACGTATAACTTTTATTGACATGTATGTTGTTCCTGCTGTACAACTTCTATAAGAAAATGTTGCAGTATACTAGATTAGTGTTGTACTGCGGCTTGCTTACCATACTATCCCCAATTTATATAAAAGCAATGGAGTTACTTGGGTTAAACATGTTTCTTTATCCCTCCCCTATGATTTTCTTCTCAGGACAGAAAAGTAGAACTGTAGTCTTATGTAAAACCTGTTAATCTGGCTTAGTGTACCTTCTGCCATGCTGCTGAAAATTAAGACCTACTGCTGTAATTGATTGATTGAGTACCTTTACAATGGCAGTCTTCTTTTTCTAGTGCTTTTCACAAGCTCTGTATATGTGCATACACACAAATGAAAATGAAGTTCAAAAGAAGTCATCACCCCACAATTCCAAGTCTTTGCTTAAAAAAGGCTGTTGTGTTGTGAGTAATGGTATTACAGATGAGAACTGAGGTACATAAAACAGCTGCAGGGAGATGCATGCATGCCAGATTCCTGCATTGTAATAATTTCTGCTATTCATTGACTCTGATGAATACTAAATGAATGAGAACTTAATTTTTTTTGAAAAAAAAGTGGGAAATACAGATTCTAACACCAGAAAAACTTGAAGCAGTTATCAGTTCTTTTCCACTGGTAACCATTAGACTGGCACAAATAGGCATGAGCTGAAATTCAAGAAATTCCATTTAAACATACAAAAGAGTTTTTTTGCATTGAGGGAGGTCAAGCAGTGGTTGTCTGGAGAGGTGGTGGAGTCTCCATCTTTGGTATTCAAAACCTGACTGGACAATGCTCTCAGCAACCTACTCGGTTTGGCCCTGCTTTGAGCAGGGGAGCTGGACTGGCTGATCTTCAGAGGTCTCTTCCAACCTGTGATTCTATGAAGACAGATATTTCATTTGATATTGGCACAATGACTTGCAAATTTTGGTTTCTTCTTTCTAGTGTTATCGCCTAACTATTTTTTTGTAAACTTTGTAAAATGAAATGAATTGTCATATCTAATAATTTATGCTTACATACATATCATGTCTTTGTCACTTAACAACCACATTGCCTGTCCGTCTAAGAAATCCAAAATGCTAAGATTTGTTACTTCAGTAAATGGAATTTTAGAACACATGTAATATTTATTTGGCAGTGCCTCTGTTTCAAATGCTCTTTGTGTGGTTCTCATGGTTAAACATTACAATGTTAAATTAAAAATACAAATAGTTTTTTTTCATTTTATTATTCACGTCCTTGACATATTTCTAATGGGGTCTTAAAATAAGTCATCTGTTATGTTCTTTTGTTGTCTCTGCTAATGAAAATATGAACTTTCTTAGGTTCTAATTTATTTTTAAGCCATGTTCCTAGCATCAGTGAGTTCTTTTTGTTTATATCAGAGATTTACTGCCCATTAACTTTGATTCTGTTTCTCCTGACTGGCTTTACATTCCCGGAAGATTAAATTCTTGTAATTATTTTTCTCTTTGCAGCGAGGAGCTACGGAAAGAAGCGCGACAGCTGAAACGTGAACTGCTGGAAGCCAAGCAGAAAAAAGAAGAAAGAGCTTTAAAACCCAAAGAAAAGGAAGGTAAGAGTATATTATAGCAGGTGTTGTGTAGATCTCCAGTTAACATTCCAGTTTTAAAGGTTTTTAGCAGTTTTGTGTTTCATGTGGATAAATGTGGACACTATATTGTTAAAATGTATATTTAATTCCCCCCCCCCCCCCCAAGAAAATTAGTTTTCCTTAAGAATGGTAGTAATGTAAGGATGCCAGTATGTAAATAAATTGTGCAGGTAGCATTCGTTCTTTCAAATGAGGTAGTATTTGTCCTTCCAAACATTCTTTAGTTACATCTGTGTAGTTGGGCAAGCTTCTGGATTTGAAATGTCATGGCATATGATTGAGTTCTTTGGTGGTGACATACCTGTTCTGACCTCTGACTTTGAAAGTCTTCTTGACATTCCGACTTTGAAAGGTACTTAAATGCAAATGGTTAACTTTGAACTCAAAGCTACTGTCTTCAAATTTTTATGCGTCTTATGACACCAGTGGAACTCAAATTCAGAAAGTCAGTTCCATGTTTATTTTCCATAAACCATAGCAAAATGGGATCTTCAGATGCCCACTTCTTTGTCAGACAAATTTTATATTCTATTTCTTTCTAAATGTGCATAAATTGCTAAGTTTATAATAGTATGTAAGGTGTGTGTTTTAGTGCAGGTGGATGTAACACCCTTTATTAGCTGAACTGAAGAAAAAAAAAGGACTGGTTTTTAAGCACTCTGGAGTTGCTAGACACATTTCTGGAGTGGATTCTTGGTCCGGTTCTCAATACCGTAAGAAATCTGGAAAAAAATACAAAATGATTAATAAAAATTTCCAGATGACACACAATTTAGAAGAGTGATAGAAAGTATAACATCATTTTTAGAAAAACTCGTGGACTCTCTTGAATAACAGGTGAGCTTGATCAGCAACCAGTTGGGCAAAATAAAGCATACAGTATCTTGAACTTGTATATGAAATCTGGCACCAAATTTTACAAAGTAGTGGCTCTGAAAATGTTCTAGGAATCGTGCTCAATCACTGAATGAATATAAGCTCTCATTGGCAAGATAATGAATGCTGTCACTGGCCATGTAAAAAAAGAACTGCAAGTAGAAGTGTAGAAAAGGTAAAGAGTAGTCCTTATGTACATTATATGATAAATGATATTGAATAGTGCCGTGTATGGCAGTTGTAATACTATCACATAAACATTATCCCTGTTCTGGTGCCAGTTAAGTCAGAGGACTTATTGTGGAGTAATTTGAATAAATCTTGGCAAGTTAACGAATGCTGGCCATGGCCATGTAAAAAAAGAACTGCAAGTAGAAGTGTAGAAAAGAGTAGTCCTTATGTACATTATATGATAAATGATATTGAATAGTGCCGTGTATGGCAGGGGATAATATAAGCTCTCATTGGCAAGATAATGAATGCTGTCACTGGCCATGTAAAAAAAGAACTGCAAGTAGAAGTGTAGAAAAGGTAAAGAGTAGTCCTTATGTACATTATATGATAAATGATATTGAATAGTGCCGTGTATGGCAGTTGTAATACTATCACATAAACATTATCCCTGTTCTGGTGCCAGTTAAGTCAGAGGACTTATTGTGGAGTAATTTGAATAAATCCACCTTTACAGTGACAGACTAAAGTAATACTTGGGCAATACTCATAGTTACTACTATGGTACAGTTTTGAAGGATACCTTTTATTCAAGGAAAGGGAGCTTATATACCAGGGTGGTTTGTTTTTTTACTTTCTTTGAAATAAATAGCAGGTAGGAGATAAACCTTTTGAAAGTCTGTAGGTAACAGCTAATGGTGAAAATGATCTTGAATAATCTTGGGTTTGCTTTTTGTGATTACTGTCAGAGCACAGGAAGGGGTCTGTTCCAGTACCTGTTGAGAAAGATATATGGCAGGAAAGAACCTATTCAACAAGTTCTTGGAGTACCTAATTAAAAATTCTAAAAATAAACATGTTCTAAAATTTAAGACAAAATTAAAAAGACATTAAGTGAGATGCAAATGGTGAAGGGCAAAATGATTAATGAAAATACAGTAACAGGAGACAAATGAGCAAGAAGAGAGTTGGTTGTCTTTGGCTAAACAAAGAGGAAATAAGCTTGAATGCTTGTTTTCACTCTGTCTTTAGCATAGTGGTCAACTTTGATCATATGGTTGCATATGATCAGTGACATAGAAGGAAGCATTCAGGTACAGAACAAGCATATAGAGACTACTTAGATAAATTAGGTGCATTAAAATAATTTGAACTTGATGGCATTCACTGAAGCGTATTAGGGAGCTGGCTAAAGCAGTCCCAGAGACATTAATATTAACAAAACGTTAACAAAATGCTTTAAGAGAATTGTTTGTAATCAAACTGGACAGTGGGATTCTGGGAATCTGTTTATTAGTGATCTGGAGAAAACAACAGATTACCTTTATTAAATTGGCAGACTAAAAAAAATATATGGGGCAGGGAAGGGGAAGATGAAAGAAAAAAATAAAGAGAAATGCAAACTTATGTGCTAAGGTTGCATTTTCAGATGCAGTTGTTAAAGTGAAGAGGTGAGTGGTTCACTCTCTTCCCTTCCACTAGTCCATGTTGGAGCTTTTACTGATCTGACTCAGTTTAAGTTGGAAGAAAAATGTTCCTTTTTTTCTTTGGTAGGATAGTTTTGTGCTGGTTTGGTAAATTGAGTCAGTTCATAGAAGTTAAAAGCCAGGTCAAGGTAAACAAAGTATGTTTACCTTGGGAGATCTCGGGGGAAACGATTATTATAGTAAGTGGTTTGCGTATCGCTCACAAATTGAGTTGCACAAGCACAAGATGTTAGGTTGTACTTAGGCAGCTTAAAATCTAGGAAACATAGTAAGTAGAAAGCTGAGAGCAAGTTGATAGTGCCATGCTATTGAAAAAGACTATAGTGTACTGTAAAATATATAAAATGGACTGTTGTATGCAAGACATTCATTTTCTATTGAGCCTGAGCAGGTCTTCAGCCTGAATCCTTTGCCCAGTTTTGGCGGTTGCACTTGAAAAAAAACATACGAGACATCTTAAGGGAGCACAGAGGAGAGCAACAAAGGTGGTTGATGATCTGGAAAGCATAATGTTTGAAGATTGTAAGAATTGGGGCTGTTCAGTTTAGAGAAGAGATGACTTTGTAAAAGGAGACATATTAATGATCATCAAGAATGTTAAAGGCTACCTTGGAGAGGGAATTATTCTATGTAATCCCTGTGGAGAGGACAGGAGATAATAAGGTTCAATTGCAGCTAAAGAGATTTAGGTTAAATGTTAGGGAAAACTTCCTAAAGATAAGTATTGGAATAGATGACCTACAAAGTGGAACTTTTCAATAGCAGATTAAGCAAATACTTCTTAGAATTGATGTAGAAGAGATTGATCCTGCCTTTTGGGAGGGATGGGCTTAGATATTCTGTTTTTCAAGATTCTGTGAAGCACAACTTAATCAAAAGAAAGGTAAGATGTGACCTGAAAGAAGGTTTTGATGGGGAGGAGAAACTAAGCATCTTGTAATGGTGATAGTAGTTAGGTGGAAGTATTACTAAAAGTGTTGTATTTACTATCACTGTGAGTCTTAAAATCAAGCAGTTAAAATAAAGGTTTGGTTGTAGGTCTGCCAAAATATTTCAGTAAGGCAGTACTCTCTTTACATTTTGCTTTCTCTTTAAATAACTTATTCTGGTTATCTAGTGAGTTATTTTGTCTATACCCTGAAAAGAGAAAGTCAATATCCTAATGATGTTTCCCTTTTTGAGGAAGTCTTGCACAAAGAAAGGTAATTCACCGAATGATCAAAGGAAGTAAAAAGTTTTCTGGTGGTAGAGAATCTACCATTACAAAATCCACAGCCAAAGAATAAATGTAAAAAACTTATTAAACGTAATATGGTCTTGAAGGAGAGGAAACTGTTCCTACATTTAGCTAGAATGAACATGTAGTGCTTAAAGGTGCTAACTGAAAAGCAGATGGGAGATTTACTGTGTAAATGTTATATAATTTGGATTATAAAGGATTCTAGATTAAACGTAAGAACAGCTTTAATTAAGAGATGAGTTTATGACACCAGACATTTAAAATTGATCAAAACATCATTGTGAAATGTCAAAATTTACTGAGCATTACCACACGGGCTTTTCATTAGACATTTAATTGAAAAATACATTCATGGTCCTCTGTCTAGCTGTGGAGGCATATTGACACTGGTAGCATAAATTAGCCATAAAGTTGCCATAAATACCATGTATTTTGACACCAGAATTTAGTAAAACCAATATAACAAATTTTAAAATGTTAATCATTTGAGAGAAAGCATGTAAACAAAATATGTAGTTGTGATCATATTCTCTTCTGTGAATAGCTAGTTTTGCCAAAAGGGATGGCCCTGTAGGATAAACACAAATAGTCTTTGGGAAAAGGTTTTGTTTATAAACAAATAAAGTTTGTAATCTCCCATTCCTGCTTCTAAGGGATTTCTGTGGTGTCTAATAAAATCCATATACTAGCAGGTAGGTAAATAATCAAAATTTACTTTTTTTGGTTTTCTTCATCCATGCTTTAATATTTCTTCTACCTCTAAATCCTTCTTCAGCTCTCAGTTTGGATATTTTTCAGAGCCAGCAGCAATCAAAACAGAACAAGGTAGAGATTCAAGCTTAAGTAAATTTTTTTAATCTGTACTTAAAAGTTCAGGAGTCAGATTATCTTTGCTAATTTATCAGGACAATAGCTCACTTGTCATTATTGCCAAAATTCAAACTAAGAGGGAGGAACTGAGCTTTTAAATAAAGGAGAGATTTTAAAATGTAGAGTAAGTGTCTTTTGCAGCATTTTACAGGTCACATTGTGTATGTCATTTGAAGTATCATTTACTGTCTTTAGTAAGTAGATTATTTAGTAAGGAAGTATATTTATTTAGTAAATGAATTTACTGTCTAAATTTGTTTAGTAAGGAAGCTTTCTGTCTTTACGGAAGCAAGAATAACAATAGCATATTCTGTGCC